TGTCTAGGGTCAACCCAGTTTTGGAGAAGCCGGCTCCGAGGGATACCACAGCGAACATGAACATGGAACCGATGAACATGGACTTGCGGCCAAAGAGGTCGGCTATACTACCGAAGAAGAGCAAAAGAGCACCTGACGTAAGCCTGCATAGTCTGTTAGTCGAGAGCTATATCGAATTGGGATAAGGCTTACGATGTGCCGCTATTCATCCACGAGACTTCAGCAGTCGACATGCCCAAGTCCTTCGCAGCAAATGAACTCATAATAGTAATAGCACCCTGCAAAAAGGTAGTCATTGCAACCGCCATGGTTACGGATATGACGAATAAACATTCTTGAAAGGTAGAGGAGAAGCATTTTGGTCGCGCATTATGATTCTCGTGACTGTATGTACGTGAGAGGGCGGTGCCAGACTCGGCGTCTGCTTCTCTTTCCGCTCCCATGTTTTAAGAACTTGCGGTTGAAAAGGGAGTATTAAGGCAAGCGTCAATAAATAGCCGTCATAGACGAGTGGTCGGAAATGAACCTGGACAAAAAGGCAATAGTATAATAAGCGACGGAGGAAGGCGCCAGGCACGATATTATACAGAGCGGAACTGGATTCAACACAGACCCGCGGACAACGGCACTGTCTCAGGTGCGGATTGCAGGTATCTGATAGCGGACTTTACACTTGCCATTTGTAACGATTAGGAATTGAGGGATGCATCAAAATGACTCGGACAATTCGTCCAGGTGGTGTCCCCCGGTCGACACGTGATTTGCCGGCGGTATTAATACACCGGCTTGGAGGTGTTATAGGCTCATTATAAGACCGAAAACATTAGTCTACCGGTGAAGCTCGTGCAACATGTAAAAGTGGACGCATGCGTTCCTCGTGCATTGCGCAACCCTGCATTAGGGTCCAGAGCCCTTGTCTTTGACGATCAATCGGTCGCCTCTGTTGCGCTCGTTTCAAGCACCAAGACATGGTGTGGATGGGCGTGGGATGTCGAAGCGGGGACGGTCATGATAAGCAACATTGAAACGACAGAACTGCTGGGGTTGAAAAGTGGAGAATGGGTATAGTCTGGTAGACGTGCATTATCTTACAATTTGATCACCTTCCACTCACCTAAGTTCATCTTGGCTAATTGACCTCCCAACGGGCCTTGAACTTCTTTTCCGTTGGCCCAGAGCTTCTTGCCTGCCCAGTATTCTAAAAAGCCTTCTGGGCCGGATACTATAATCAGTCTTGACCCAGTTTCTTCTCTCTTGCGCGTGATCCATCTTTCAATCTCACTGGGTTGGATGAAGGTATGCTCTTCATCAACGTAGTAGTTTACATCTAGACCTCCTTTTGTGGGCAGACTTCGCTGCTTGAGTGCATCTAGCTCTTTCACTATTACGCCCTTGGCTGTACCACCCGAGCCATCCGTGAGTGGCATGTCTGCAACGGGCTCGCTAGGACCCCAGAAGCTCTTCCACCACCCCACGCGGTCTTGCGTGGCTGTGCTTCCGGTGTCATCGCTGATGCCACCAATACATTCTTCACGCCGCCTGTTGGCCCAGAGTATGTGCATCCTGCTCCCCGTCCGTCTTGCTAGAGCCTGGGCAACCTGCATCGCAGGAGCTATGCCTGTGCCTCCTGCCAGGAATATGACCTCGATGATATCGCGGGGAAGCGTGAGTTCCGTGTTGGGCCCTCGCAGCTCAATCGTCGAATCTACGGGTAGTCGGTGTAGGTAGGTGGAGACCTCGCCGCCCGCCTCCTGCCGGATAAGTAGTCGCACATCTTCTGCCTCATTGCCGCCCGTCTTCTTGCCGTCTGCAGTGTGTGGTAGCGGTGTGTAGGCGCGGGCGATCTGCAGCTGTGGTTGCTTAATCTGCACACTCCATACACTACGCTTCCACACCTCCTTGACGCTTTCGTTATCCGGCAGGCCGCTGCCGTTGCGCAGTGTGAAGATGGCGCTGGTAGAAGATACTGGCTGTTTGTCTACGAGGGTGTAGGGTGTGAAGGTGTACGGGTTCAGCGTTCCGTCAGATTCGTCGGTGGATTTGGTCAAGCGATACGCGGCGCCGCCGAGGGCTGAAGCTCCGAAAACAACCAACGGGCCTGTTCGCGCCTTCATCCAGGACATTGTAGATATGGGGGGTGACTGGCTTCAAAGAGTCGGGACTTACCCCACAGAACCGGCAGGAACTCGAGATAACAGCAGCATGGCCCAAGCGTATTGCCTTTTCGAGTGTTCCGGAGCGTGACAATGTCGTCAACGGCAAGTTCCTAGGATGATGGACTATGCCAATTCACCGAGATGCACTAGTTACTTGTAGAACTGGTTAGATGGTAGATTAGCAGTATCAAACTTGCTCACGATAGCCTCAAAACTCAATAGACACACTCTTGGAGCCGGAATGGCATCTTTTCTGGCTGCCTTCTACGCTTGCTTTTGCCGCTTCAAATGTCGGTGGCCATGGTAACTCGAATGTATCAAGATAGCATTTCGGACCGGACCCCGCCTCCGTCCCATCCGTTGCGCGCTTGCGCTTACTCGTTGCACGTAGTTCTAGCACGTCGTGTGGGTGCATCCTTCGGAGTCTTCACACAGCCAACCCCGACTTCCAGAACGTGCAGGGCGTCCAGGAGGTGGCAAGTGTCCAGTTTCAACGCGTGAAACAGCAATCGCCATGGCTTCCTTTCCTTTCCAAGCACATGCAGCTGAATAAGTTGGGGCTAAGCTGCCGCATCCTCTAACCTTCTAGATCCGGATGCCCTGCATATGACCCCGAGACCCTGGTGGCGTCCTATCGCATCCCCATCATCCGTCCTGACACCATTTCTATTCACTTGTTCATTTACTCCTTCATTCATCGTGTACTATTTTCCAACTGCAGTTACGTGATTCGTCTGTGAGTCATTTGGGCCATCTCCCGACTTCGCAACGTGTCCCGGCGATTTGCCGGACTTATCACGGGATAAGCTTTCTCAGCCCTATCGATCGACCCTTCTTTCAACTTTTCAGCGGTGACGACAGCACACGAGCAACCTCTAAACAGCCCCATCTGCAAACCCGTATTACGTTGTGACCTAGGCCTTGAAGACAGAATACATCATCTTCCCAGGTGCTTCTAACTGAGCAAGCTGAGCCACGCGATGGCACCCGCAGTTCTGACACAGCGCCCGAAAATATTGTTCTTGGACGCCTACGACTCCTTTTCCAATAACATAGTCGCGCTGGTCGAGCAAAATTTGGACGCAGAAGTGATCAAGGTCTTCATTGACGACCCGAACCTCATCAAGCCGACGGTTCCTGGCAGCCATGCAGCCTTTACAGACTACCTAAAGAGCTATGATGGCGTTATTGCGGGACCGGGTCCTGGCTGGGCCAAATGCGACGAGGACGTTGGCTTGATGAAGGAACTCTGGAATCTTCAAGACGAGCAACTCATCCCCGTGCTTGGCATATGCCTTGGGTTTCAATCTATGTGCCTTGCGTTTGGGGCTGACATCCAACGACTGGAGGAACCGAGACACGGCATTATAACAAAGGTCCTGCACAACGGCCAGTCAGTCTTCAGAAGCGTGGAACTTCTACTAGCTACCCAATATCACTCACTACAAGTGAAGCTCGGTCATCCTATCCAAACCACGAGAGCTGTACGATACCCCGCTCAACTATGGGAGCCCACTGAGACCTGCCCTCAACTGGAGCCCCTTGCGTGGGACTTCGACAGCGAGATCAACGGCGCTGTGCTCATGGGCGCCAAACATGTACAGAAACCCTTCTGGGGTGTTCAGTTCCACCCAGAGTCAATTTGCACAAACGAGCAAGGCAAGCGCATCATCCAAAACTGGTGGGAAGATTCTCAGTCATGGAACCGGAAGCGCATGTTCCGCAACGTCCCAAAGCATAACTTGACTTCAACTCCGCAGTCTTCACCGATGACGGTCGATGATTTTCGACGAGAGCTCGGCGTCCACAACATCAAGAACAAGAGCAAATACTCTAGCGCAGATCTTGCAGAAAACCTCGACAGCGACACGATAACGCCATTCGAACTGGCTTCGCTGATTGCACATGGCGATGGACAGTCGTTGCCGGATTTGCCGCCGAGCAAAGTGCATTGTCGAACCATCGGAAGTGGAAGACTTACAATTGCAGATATATGTGAGTTATTCGAGGTATCAAGGACGGAGGCTATAGTCCTTGAGTCCGGATTGCAGTCGAACCTGGTACCCATGGCTGTAGGAACTGGCAGATACAGCATCATCGGATTTGTCATCCCCGAGGAAACCCTCCGTCTGCATTACTATGCAGGAGCACGCAGAATGGAGCTCAGAGATGGCGACGACCGAGTTCACACGGACTGGACTGTGGCCCACCCATGGCCATACATCAGAGAAGTCATGAAAAGCCTCCAGCCCACCGAGCCACCCGTTGCTTCAACATGGGCACCTTTTTGGGGAGGTCTAATGGGATATGCGTCGTACGAGGCTGGTCTGGAAACTATCGATGTTCACGGCCACGAAGAAGCTTCTTATCCTGACATCTGCTTTGCTTACATCACGCGGAGTATCGTCATTGATCACCAAAACAAGAAGATCTATGTCCAGAGCATCCGTGGGTCTGAGGACCTGGAGTGGGTCGAGGACTCCATAGACATGTTGGATGAGCTTGCGGGTGTAAAATCCCGGGAATCTACTCCTAGCTCCATGGCCATGTCACAGGCGGATCCTTTCGAGGCACACGGCACGATGCATCAGTACATCGACTCGTGCAAACAAGTCACAGCCAACGACATGGAATATTGTGCCAAGGTTCGGGCCTGCCAGGACGCCATATCGGATGGACAAAGTTATGAACTCTGTCTTACTACTCGCAACGAGGTTCACGCCATCAAGCCAAGTGCTTGCAGGATATCGTGGGCAGAGAACAATGAGCATTCTTGGAATCTTTACAAGCGCTTAACAAGCCAAAATCCCGCTCCCTTTAGCGCGTACATGAGAATGCATAATGTACATGTACTGAGCTCCTCGCCAGAGAGGTACATCAGCTGGGATAGGTCGCAAAGTGCTCAATGTCGTCCTATCAAGGGTACGGTGCAAAAGAAGCCTGGTGTTACAGCAGAAATGGCACATGCAATCCTATCCTCGTCCAAGGAACGCGCTGAGAACCTGATGATTGTTGACTTGACACGTCATCAATTGCATGGTGTTTACGGCTCCGACAGTGTCCGCGTAAGCCAACTTATGGAGGTCGAAGAGTACGAGACCCTTTGGCAGCTGGTTTCCGTCGTCGATGCCGTACCCCGTGGAATCCACAAACCAACGACACCAGAGGGGTGGGAAGAACCTGCGGGAAGCACTTCAAAGCAACCCGAAAAACAGCCTGTCCCGTACCTGGGTTTCGAAGCATTCGTCGAAGGCCTTCCAGCAGGAAGCATGACTGGGGCTCCGAAGAAGCGCTCCTGCGAGATTCTCCAGAATATCGAGAAGGGCGTAAGGCGAGGCATTTATTCTGGTGTTCTCGGCTACCTCGATGTGGGGGGTGGTGGTGACTTTAGTGTCGTTATACGAACTGCTATCAAAATCGACAATGATCAAATTGACGAGAAGGAAGACCTCTGGCGCATCGGTGCCGGAGGGGCGGTAACAAGCCAGAGTACTCCCAAGGGCGAGTACGAGGAGATGGTGGCCAAATTCGGTAGTACAAACCGAGCATTCGCCCCTCTTCCACCACCGAAACCGAAGAAGAAAGGCAGAAGGGTTGAGATCATTGAGCCTGATGACCCGGAGTTCGCTGAGCTGCTTGCAAGTATGAGGGGTGGGGAGGAATTGACGCTGGATGATGCGCAGATCATGTTGAGGGCTGTGGAAAGAGAGCTGAGGCGAAGGACTGCTGCTGGAGAAGTAGGAGATGCCACAGAGGTAGAGTGATTGCTTCTATGGAATTAGGGTGGGCGGAGTTATTGAGTTTAACCTGATACCACGCATGATAGACATAGAGTTTTCTGGGTTCAACACCAATGTCCAAATTATTATACTTTTAGTTAACCAAGATATTTTGCTATAATCCTTTCAAGCAATTTATAGAGGCAGACTATATGTTGGAGGAGATGACTAAGCACGGTCCAAGTGGTACGTAGCATCGCCGTGTACTTTGGTACTTTGAGGAACAAGCCAACACGTCACGAACAGCAGCCGCCATGGCTACCGAGGCGCCAGACCCACGAACCTTTGAGACATGGGAAGATGCATTCCAATACCCAATTCCCGTCGTTCGTAGGCTTGAACAGCAGCTCCGCAACAATGCTCACGACAATCGAGAGAAGCTGCGATCCCTCGTGGGGTACGGATATCTGTCTGCAATGAAGAAGTGGCAAGACTGATTGCATGCAGGGCGAGCTACCGTAGCCTCCTCCATACCGCGGAAACCATCATCGACATGGAGGTGCGCATGGGACAGGTCGAAACCAAGCTCGCAGTAGTAGGCCAGAGCTGCAACTCGAGGGGTTTGGAGAGGATAGCGAACAACGCGGGGAAGATGGATATACATACGCGCAGCCGCGGTCAGTCTACATCATCACGTTGGGAAGGAGCATTGGGTTGACAGAGGACAGATGCGGAGCGCTATACTTTTGCGTCCCAGCTCTCGGTCCTGCGCAATGCGCCGCTGGTCGCGACACGTCTTATGAAAAGAGAAGGGTCATATTTGCTCATAGCAAAGGTACTGGTCATATCGCGACTACTTCACAAGTCGCTCAGCCAGTCTGCGAACAACCCGCCAATTGTGGGCCAGCTCTGGGAGAAACTCCTATCCGTACGGAGGAAGCTTTTACGAAGAATCGATAAGCGACTCTCGAATACAAATGGAGAGGTGGCAAGTCTGGTGGAGAGCATGTGCGCGTATGCGCTTGCGACAAGCTCAACGCCAACAGATGTGTTGCACCACTTCCACAAAATGCGTTTGGACAAAATGAACAGCGAGCTCAGGGCGGGTAGTGATGAACTTGCGAAGCATGGTATTAATGCCCTGAAGCTATGTATTCAGACGTGTCTCGATACGCAAACCATCTTTCCGCGACGGTTGGCTGAATCGCTGGCAAAGCTCAAGGCGCATCCGTTGATTCGAGATCCCGAGATTCGCGGACTATACGAGCTGAACCTGGACGTGCACGACCGATGGCTTAGTGATGAGGCGCGGAATTACACGCCATGGCCGCGACACGACGAGTTGCAGCGACCCGAAGCCGAGCGCATACTGCACCGATGGTCGAAAGATGCTGTCACAAATTTCCTCAAGGGCGTCAAGGCAGCACTTGAGGGAGAAGAACGCTTACAAGAGGTTGCGAACTTGAGACAGGAGCTGATAGAGACGTGGATTTTGTCGGGGTCACGAATGGCAGGTGTCAAATCAGCGAATGTTCTTGATGATTTGCGCGAAACCATGAGTGAAAAGCTTGAAAATATCGTGCGGTCGCGTACGAGTGGACTGCAAACTGTTGTCTCCGATCTCACGACACGGCTGGATGCTGTTGCAGCATCCAAAGAAGCATCTGCACTATCCCTGTGGAGCACCATTGACAAGGCGTCGGACCTCAGCAACGGTGCGCAAACGTTCAAATCTACCATCCTGAACACACACCAAGGACGCGACGAGTCCGTCATAAGCGTCATCTCTGCATTCGACAACTGGATGGAATCCGTCTTGGAAGTCAAGGGCATCGTGAAAAGCATGAAAGAAGCTCGATGGGACGACACCTTTGCCGAAGACGTCGACGACGATTCAGACGATGATCTTGGCGATTCAAAGCAGACTCTACTCAGCGATGACGATCCAAAGCTACTAGAAGAAGCCACACAGGAAGCACTTGGTGAGGCGATGCAAAACCTGGGCCGAAGCTTCTCGGCAATGACCAAACCCTCGGACGGCGGAGACGCAGACGGCTCAATCCAAAAAGCAACCTTCATCCTCCGTGTCGTCCGAGAAATCGGTGATCGGCTACCTCGTCTACGACTTCAGGAAAGAGCAACATCTCTCCCGTCGCCTTTTACAGCAGATATACTGCAGCCTCTGTATATGACTCTAGCCTCGCACACTGCACAGCCGAATTTGGACAAGTACAAAATCTCGCTTCATAGCTCACTAAATGTAAAGACGAAAAGCTATATCTTGTGGGAAGGCCATCCTCCGTTACCGAGTCAGCCGTCGCCTAGCGCGTTTAGGTTCTTGCGCGAGTTGGATAAGAGTATGAGAGCTTTAGGGAGTGATCTCTGGGCTCCGAGCTGTGTGTCTGTGCTTAAGAGTTGCGTAGCTGAGGAGTTGAACGGCTTGGTGGGGGAGCAGGTTGACGCTATTACTGCGGGGGAGCAAGATGATGGGCAGGACGTTGAGAAGGCAGAGAGCGAGGAAGAAGAGAAAGAGAAAGAAGAAAAGGACGATGCTTCTGCAGCTACCAAGGATGAAGACAAGGCAAAGCCTACTGAATCTTCGTCGGAGCTGAAGAACCAAAGACTCAAGCAACTGTTCTTCGATCTGTTGTATATACAGCGCTTTGTTGACCCGAATGGTGGAGAGGACAAGGTTAGCACTCTGCGCCTGAAAGTAGACGTCACAGATCTGGATGACGCTGCTATGAGTAGGTTGAAGAAGAATGCTGCAGATTATGCGAAGAAGACGTATCTGCTTTTTGCGCTGCTAGCATAGGCAATAACATCATCATATTGTGTATGTCACTCTGCTAGCCTAGGGATACATGCGCAATGGGTTGATAATGTCGTATACATCCACTTTTTGGTCAAACTGTCTCTCTGTTGTGAACCGTGCTATTCCGTCTACTTTGTTTACACCTCGCTTACGAGCAACACAACCATTTCTCTGAGAATATTAGACTGAGCATATATATGTTAGAAAACATCAATTATCCACTAACCAGCAGCAGCCAAAGACATTACACAGTCCCGTTACTCGGTTTATCCAAGTGGGGCTGGTGGTGAGTAGTAGACGACCCATTCTTTTTGCCCTCGTTCGAAACACTAAAAGTTATGTTTTCCTTTTTTGTTCTTTTTGCTCTACTTATGGAAGTCATCCTAATGCCTACATGGAGATGATAGATCACATGCCAACGCGCAAACGTGCACATCTTCCACTACAAACCCGGTAGCGACCCCACTCCTGGACTCCAGGCGTGGCACAAAAAACCCAAGCTGCGCTGCAGTCTTCCCATTCCCCTCAACTATCTCCTCACACAGCCGCCTCAACAAAATGTCAGACGCCCAAGTCTTCGAGCACTTCACTGGATCCGACATAACAGACGAAATACTAGCAGAAGCCACACTCCTCTTCAACAACCATTATGGGACTTGGAGTACCCACACTTCCAATCCCGCTGACAGAGTCAAACTCTCGAAACAGCGTATGCGCCAACAATTACTACCAACAGGCGGCTCCTCGTGTATCTACGCGCGCGTCACTGTCGCGACTCAGCTTGTGGGCAATGCGTTCGCCTGCCGGTGGGTAGTAGATGGTGTATCCATTTGTTGGATTACTCAGCTGGTTGTGCACTCTGAATTTCGACGACAGGGGCTTGCTGCGCGTCTGTTGAGGGAGGCGGGGGATAGTGATGTGTGCGGGATTATGAGCTCACATCCTGCAGCTTGTCTGGCCGCTGCGAGGGCTTTTGGTGGTATGTATAGTGTATGCTGTGTACAACGCAGGTTTTTGCTGACGGTGCTGTGTTGTAGATGGGTGTGTTACAGCGCAGGACCTTGAGTTTATGCACGTGAATGCAAGGGCTGTTATGGAGGCCTCGCCGGTCGCGTATGTGAGGGAGGCTGTGTTAAGGGGAAAGCTTTTCGACGGTCAGGATACTAGTGGTGCAGTATCATCGGTTGACACGCAATTTTTCGTCGATCATAAAGAGCCGTTAGGGGTATTGGCGATGGTTAAGCAAGAGAGGGATTGGCCACTTGGAGAGCTTTTGGAAGGATTCGAATTTCTTCTCATTCTTAAGAAGACGTTTGGCTCACAGTCGGCATCATGATTGAACGAACAAAGTTTTCCTACTAGTCTAGAAACATGTGAGCAATGGCAAGTCACTCTATCATCGGACTATGTCCATGTATATTCAAAGGTGGTGTTCCGACTACCCCTACTGATCAGGATTATAATACTTCCTCCAATTATGCTCCTCCTTGAACCCCAAAACCTCCTTAATCTTCCGATTACTCAACGGCGCCTCCCACTCGTCCATCTCGCGCGTAACAGGCGTATTCGGCGCATATTGTTCTAAAAACTGCTTGGTCGGGAACGTCGCGGTTATCGTGTCATTCGTCGCATTAAACACCTGGAATCCCAACCCATCTCTCTGCACACATAAATCGCAGATCTGACCCAAATCGCGCGCATCAATGTAGGCCCACGCATTTCTCTTACGCGTCTCCGGATGCTGGATGTAGCGCGGGAAGTCGCGCTCGTACTCGTGGGGTTCGATGACATTGCCAATGCGCAGGGCGTAGATGTCGGCGTCGAAGCGGCGGGCGAAACCGCGGGCGACGCGTTCGCCGCAGAGCTTGGAGATGGCATATGTGTCCATGGGGTTTACGTCCATGTCTTCGACGAGGGGGAAGGCCGTGTAGTCGAGGTTACCTTGACCAAAGCAGACTTCGTATGTGGTTTCGCTGCTGGCGATGATGATTTTCTTGACGCCGAGTTTGCAGGCGGCTTCGATGACGTTGTAGGTGGAGCGCACGTTGCCAGCGTAGCACTCGTTGTCTGGGACGAGCATGTTGCGCGCGTAGGCGGCGAAGTGGATGACTGCGTCGGGCGGGCTAGGGACTTGGGCGTCTTCATAGCCGCTGAAGTTGAAGTGCGTGGTTAGGGCATTGAAGACTTGACCACTGTCTGTGAGGTCGGTTTTGAGGGTGAAGACGTTAGCGCTGGGGTCCGGGAAGTCGATTAGGTCCAGGTTGAGGACTTGATAGCCTCTCTTGAGGAGCTCGGGGATAACATGGCGACCGGCTTTTCCCGAGCCGCCAGTGAAGACGATGCGTTTTCCTGAGGAGGTTGCCATGGTTGTGTGGAGGGTGTCCGTGGATCAATTGGTCGTGTTATGATCAATGGGTGGAGTTGAGTTGTTGTTTGGTATACGGCAGTTGGAGGGGCATGTTAGATGTAGGTAGCACTTGGCGGGGGATCACCATCTTCATAGACGTCATTTGCGACTGAAACGACTTGTCCCACCGGGTACGCGGTGGAAACAAGTCGAGAGAGGCTTAGCGTGGCCTACAAGGATGAGGTTGTGACCAGACTCCGCAACAATCAATCGGATCGGCATGATTGATTCCTATCTAGGTTAAAGGCTGCCTAATGAAGTAATTCTTTAACCTATATAGGAATCAATCATGTCAATCGATTGATTGTTGCGGAGTCTGGTTGTGACGATGATGCTCCATCAATGTCAGCACAACAAGAAGAAAATGACCAGCTGTACAGCCTAAATGTAGTCGCTGTAGAACAATGTCCCAAGAAGCGCGAGCTGAGACGAGCGCGTTGTACTGTAGGCCTTGGGCGGGGTAGATGTAGCTCGGTAGTTATGCACCACTAGTTAACGCTCTAGGTGAGTTACGCTAACGACTACCTAGGTATAGCACGGATGGCAAATGCTGGCCCGGGTATCCTGCATCTTCTGTTTTACCAGCAGCATAGAATTTCCGAGTAAGTCACCGATTAGGGGGTGGATAGGTTGGTGTTGGGTTGGTATTAGGTTGTGTAGTGTTGGGTCAGCTTACGTAAGACCCTGACCCAACCTCTACCTTAACCCTAGGTACCTATTTACCTGCGTAGCTCAGAGAATTTGGAGACCGCGTTAATAGAACTAGCGGGAGCATAGTTTACGATAGGCTTTTCTGTGTTGCAACCTTAAAGCTTATAAGCTTAAAAAATAATAGACACAGAAGGTATCGGATTACGCTTGTCTGTATGCAAGCGCGCGGACAGTCTGAGGACCTAGAAGAGAAAACGTCCCGTTACACCGTGCGTTTCAACACGCTTAGACAGACTTTAGATGAAGATCAATCGTTTCTCCACTAGACAGATAAGGATGGCGAATGAGTAGGGTACTTACCTAGTGAATATAAGTATGATATTCGCCTCCCTAAGCATTAGACAAGACAAAATCATCGTTCTCATCAGCCGTCTGTTTTACCATCTACTCAATCATCATGAAACTCGCCTCGATCATCGCAACCGCTATTCTAGCCGCGCACCCGACCATTGCGGCATTTTGTCTTGGTGGGTGGATCACATGCAGCTGTAAGTTAATCTGCCTTTCTCCGCCTTGTTGACGCTTACACCTCAAAGACCCAGACTATGCTTGCGACGCTAGTTGCCCAAATGTCTCCAGCGGTTGCGGATGTACTGATTATTGGGGTGGGGTTGGGAATTTAGAAGGTTCACATTGTATAGACAGACTCTCGACACGTCATCTAAGATGCCCGTGGACAGGCCACAACGCTCCTTCTATATGCAACCCAGCGAAACATGGTGGTTGCGGGGGGTTTGAATTTTGAGACTGAAGATTTGTATTGGGGTCTACTACAAACCGAGATCGTCTATCTATATATAGTGTGGTGTGGTAGCATGACACAGGATCGGGAGATTAAGCAGAAGCGCAGCGTCTTATCAGAGGGCAAAGATATAAAGTAAAAGGTTCTCGGGTGGAAAGAGTATTCATTCCTTCACAAACGCACAGTACTACTACTGGTTGCGAGTCAAAATCTGTCTCCTTGTACCGCGCAATACGATATCCTGCTACGATATTAATTCTCATTCTCTTTGCATTATACATTAGACAAATACATAAGACCTCTAGCGCGTCCGATGCTGATCAAACTGGGGTTACCATATATGCTAGTAGCGAGCTGTAGTATTACTGGCCTCGGAAATATGTCCTTGCAAAGAGACAAAGCGTAGGGGAACTGGAGGAGTAAAGTCTCTATCTAAGATTCTGCACGCTTCTTAGCCGTTGTTGAGTATGTTGTAGTAGGTAGCATGGCTGGTATATTACGACGCAGTGTTTCCCAACCACGCGTGGAGAGATGGTACACAGCTCGAAATCATTATTTGTACCTAGGTGCATGAAGTTTATAAAATATCCTCTTCCAACACTACTCCCATGCCTGAATAGCATCAGCTCGACTCTTTTCAATGCGCCATTCCTTGTAGTTCTTCTTTTAATTCATAACTAGCACGACTTGATCGCGTCCGGGCCTAAGAGACATCTGGCCAAGGAAGCTTTCGTAATACCGTGTAGATCGTACATTGGCTGCTAAGCGTGATGGTCGTGCGAAGGAGCCTTGTCCCCTCGTACAGTTGTTCCTAGCCGAACACCTTTACACTGCTATGCAAAGGGTAGTAGCTTTGGCTCAAAATTCAATGTT